GATATTTTCACTTTCCGCATTCAGTGAAGGTCGAATTTATTTTTGATTCGTCACAACTTTCTCGAAGTGCGCACAGATGTTATAAATGTCTTCGTTACGAGTTTGACGTAGCGTTTTACTGTCAAGTGACACAAGTAAATGGTGTTGAGCGTATTTAAGAATCGTATGTCTTGGTATGACTAGTTATTATGTTTTTGTTATTTAATTGCCTCGTTGGCCGAGTGGTCGCAAGTGCGATTGCCGGGCAAGGGGTCTCGGGTTCGATTCCCGGGTCGGACAAAGTATTACTGAGTTTTTACAGAATTCTCAGTAGTAGCACGGAGTCTGGAATTGTGCCCGGTATATGGCAATAGGCTCACCTCCTATTACATGGGACTCATAACATAAATAGTGAAAAGTGTGTGTTACATTGTACAGTGGCATAATGTGCACCTCTGCCTACCCCTTCGGGGATAAAAGGCGTGATGTTATGTGTTATGTGTGTGTTATTTAAGTTTACTAAACACACATGCTACTCAAGATTACGATCGCCTGTCCTAGTTTAACTCGTCAAGTACCGTCATTATAGACACAATTATAGAACAATAGGTTGCGGTCACTGGTGACCGCTTGGTGTTTGACAGTTTAAAACTAGTTGAAACCTCTCCTCTTGAATAATAATTAACCTTTTGTGTTATGAATCGACATTTTTAGCATTAGGTATACCTTAAGTTATTAAATAGGAGAAGAGCAGGAGTTGTACAGGGTGGTCTTTAGTCAGTAAGAGTCAGACACTATATCTCGCCTCACCCAAAGTGGGAGACGCCATTGCATGATGTTCTCCTCAAAAAGTTATCGTTATGTTACTTACCACAAGCGTATGGCGCATCGCGTTCCACGGGTGCCTCAAAGAGCTATCAGACCACCACAGATGAGGCCCAATAGGGCTGATGCCGATACGGAGCCGCGGAGAACGTAAAAGGTTACCAAGGCTCCGGGTCGAAGTGCAGGAATAAGAACAGGGTGTTTTTTAGTCAGAAACATGACATTCCATATCGCCTCACCCACGCGGGAGATGACATTCGATGATTTTTCGCCAATAAAAAATATGTTATCTATATTTAAATGAATTTAACCTAAATTTAAGTATAAAAATAGTAACGACAGAATTCCACTACGTATAAAATGTTTGGCAAAATAATATACTTTTAAAACAAGCGCACTAACTCCTTTCAAACTGCGCTGAAATGAGTTCCTCCGTACGGAAACATAATGAAACATCAGTGAAAAGTTTAAGCGTACCCACGCTAAAATAAAACACATTTTTTTTAGCTTGTAGGATAGTATACACGTCTGTTTTAAAATAGAAGACAAAGGACTAGTTATCTTGACGTATACGTTACGTGACTATAAAATAGAAGACAAACAATGATTAATTCAACTATTGAGAATTTTGTAAGTAAATTTAATTGGTTATTACAGATTGTTTCTTTTAATAACATGAGATTTTGCTCAAATAGTTCATGTGAGAGAACTTCTCTGTTTACCTCTCAAAGGATAAGAACTCAAATTCTATTTTTTTATTTAAGATACTCTTTAAAAGAGTAATTTAAGTTTAATAAGCCGGTAAACGAGCAGAAGGATCAACTGATGGTAAGGAATCGGCGCCGCCTATGGACACTTGAAACACCAGAGACGTTACAAGTGCATTATTGTCCTTTTGAGAGTTGAGGATTGTAGGGGATTCGGGGATTGGGGAGATGAAACACAACGCGAGCTTTATTTCATGTCGGTTTTCTGTGAGGCCGTGGCGTCACATCGGTCGAGCCGGCCCATTTGTGCCGAAGCATGACTTTCCCCACACTCACACTCAAATTAATTATTTCAATAGATCTCTCCTTTGCCAAATGTACAGTTAAATATTAAATAACATATCAATTTATCTCCCATTTTCTCATTCTGTCTCTCTCTTAAACTGTCACCAAGCGGTCACCGGTGACCGCAACCTATTGTTCTATAATTGTGTCTACAAAACCGGTACTCGACGAGTTAAAACACAATTACACCCTCATAAACCAACGCAACCGTTATAAAGTCAACTCCACCCGCATTTAATTCCAAGTTTAAAATTAAAATTTTAAATTTAACGCCGCTGCATTATTCGCGAAGAAAAACCCCATATTCACTGCAAGAATAAAAATGTCTTCTAGAAACGCTCGCTTCAAAGTAAATGGTTTTCTAGGCCGTGGGTACTTTCGCACAACGTAGCGTAGGTATTTTCTACTGAAAGAAATATGGGTGCTTGTCCCCGTTTTCAGCTGAAGAGGCGAGATTTCTTTTAGAGGAAGGGTTTATTAAAATTATTTTGATTTATATATGTTGCTGCGCGAGTTATAAGCTTTAATCTTGGTTTTGGGTTCGAGTACTTAATGAAGAACCCAGCTTTACCTAGTTTCAATGACGGACTGACTGACAGACTATTATTTATTTGTATTTCTTGACGTTCCAAAAGTACCAAATTATGGTTTAACTCGTCGAGTATCGTCATATAGAAACAATCAAACTTAATCAGAATCTTACTTAATATTATAAGCGCGAAGGTTTTTTATCTTTATTGGCCCACCAACATTGGGATGATGACAGGGTATGAAAATTGAAAATCTAATTAGTCCGTAAGTTAGGTAATGAAAAAATATTAGACACGTATTTTTTTATTTTGTAGTATACTTAGATATAACGAATTAAAGTTTAGGAGTAGGGGCTAAAACGTCATTTCTACGTATAAAATGTACATAGAAGTGACGTCACGTGACCTTTTAAATTAATATATCGTCGAAAGTATTCGCTTCTGTAAAAAAATAAAAAATACGTGTGTAATGTTTTAAATAGTCTACCAGACGGACATTAAAATAAAAATTAGTTATCTACCCTATTGTATATATGTATAAGTTTTGTGAAATTTGTGAAGTTCGTCAAGACGGCTGAAGGGATATGTCTATAGATTAGGCTCTGAAATAATACATAGGCTTTTATTATCTCACGGTAATGCGGGTGATACGGTTGGCAGAAGCTAGTTATATTACAAACAATACTTTTGTTACTAAAACACTAAATAAAACATACTAAAATTTCGAAATCTAATAATACATAATAAATTCGACAACAGATGTCCAATACTTAAATATTTCGACAAAGAGCACAGATATAAATAACCAGCGCATTTTAATTTACACCTACATACAAAAATATAAATAAGATTTATTATATTCTATCCCAATAACATGGCACGGTGTCGCATGCCGCTATCGCCACTGCAAAATCATGTTTTTCATTTGATTAGTATTTTGCTGCATAAAATTGCTGTCCAATAAATTGACTAGATTCGTAACGTTTTCATTAAAATGCTAGCAGGTTTTATAAATACGGTTTTTGAGTCATGTTAAGTGATTTTTAGAGTTGAAAAAGTCGATTTTATTACTTCCCGCGATGATAAGTCGATGTTTTTTTCACTCTATTTATATCAACATTTTCCATCTATTACTAAGTTTAACACAGTTTTATGCTTTTATTAGTATCTCTAAAAATAATAATAGAATCTTATAAATAGACTTAATTTTTTTGACTAAGCTTAAAACTTTACTATATGTCAGAATGTCATAAATCCGAAAAGTTTATGAGTCAAATACTCAATCACGTCAAATGGAATGCAGAGAAATTTGAAACGGGGATGAGCTATGATATGGAATAACACATACGGTATTTTTTATTTTGGGAACTCGAGCAAAGTCAGTGGCAAAAGCTAGTTTTCTATACGTTAGAATTACATAAGGTCAAAATACTGACCTACGACTTAATTCCAAAAGCACTCAGTAGGTTCTAATCCTAATACAGTTAGTAGAAAAACATAGAACAAACAAATACCAATTGAAGCGAGTAGACTTTATTGAAAAGATCAATAGACCCACTCATTTCTTATTTCTTCTTCATCAACTAAAACAAAACTCTGAGCTAGAATAACAATAAAGGTATTTGTTCTAAAATTATTGTATCAGATTTCTTATTTCGTATTCCTTCATCGGATTTCTTGTATTTGTGAATTACGTTACAGAGGGATTATATTTATTATCACGAAACGAAACGTTTTACTTTATACTAATACTATTTTCTTATTTGGTCAGCTAAACAAATTCTTTTCATACTAAATTCCTATTTTATGAAAGCGAAAGGTTTTTTGTTATGTGAAATATTTACGTTAAATGCTGGTCAGTAATAAAATTCCAAATTTGGCTAAAAAGGTTCGCGTGCCTTCAAAGCTATGAATGCTTTATCAAAGGGCTCGCACATTCTTGAATAAAGTCTTAGTTTCAAAAGTGAATTGTGAAAGCCTTTATAGTTAGATGTAGCCACAAATTAGAAATATTTCTCAATGTATGTACTATGTAACATAGTTCTTTGTCTAGATTCTGGAACATAGGAAATATAACACAGTAGTTGTGATGGTACGGAGGTTCAAGATGCTTCTAATGCACGCGGCTGCGAAACCTACCAACGACAAAGTACCAATGTGCCTTTTTCCAAGTTATATGTACTTTCTAAGATTATAGACACCACTGACAAACGGTGAAGGAAAACATAGTTAGGAAACCTGGACACATTATTTCTAATTATATTAATTTATTTTATAGCTTTATAAGTCATATTGCCATATTCAAGATACAATTTCAGGCTCCATGTTGATTACCGAAAATATAATTTCGAAACACCAGAAAACCCAGTAAAGAGTTTGCTCCAATCGATCCCAAAACTCTTTGCTTGACTTTGCCCAACGAGATAATAGAAGACAGAAATGTTTTTTGTCTCGTATTAAACTAAATATAGACATTCTTCTAAGAAACATTCTACCTTTATGAAAATTATTAAAGTGTAAAGAGACTATAAAACAACAAGAACTCCTTAGTTGATAGAATTCTTATAAAATATTTTTACATTAATACTAATTAAATATTTATTTTTTGTTTCAGATTATACGTACATACTTTGCTGGGTAAGTGAAAATAAGGAATCGTAAGAAGTATCCAGGAAAATAATATTATTAGTACTTTTGCATAAATCTTGAAGTGTCCAACAAGAATATTGTACGATAACTATACCTATCATGTTATACACATTAATATTAAAATTTATTATCATTGTATATTTAGTCAAGAAACGAACAATTTTATATTATTAAATCTTTTACAATATAGGTAAATAGGTACCTATATAAAACAAAACTTTACTAACTACAACATCAACTATTAAACATTACCATATCATAACATCACACCACGCCCTTTATCCCCGAAGGGGTAGGCAGAGGTGCACATTATGCCACTGTACAATGTAACACCCACTTTTCACTATTTATGTTATGAGTCCCATGCAATAGGGGGTGAGCCTATTGCCATATACCGGATACAATTCCATACTCCGTGCTACTACTGAGAATTTAAAAAAAACCCAGTAATACTATGCCCTATCCGGGAATCTGACCCGAGACCCCTTGCCCGGCAGTCGTATTTTTGACCACTCGGCCAACGAGGCAGTCGTTTTTTATTAAAAAAAATCATAACCAAAAGCCGCATTGTATTTCACATATAATAATTATAGATACTAATGTGACACAAAATACCAAAGCAAGCAGCAAACAAACTTAATAAAACCACATTATCGCAGACATCAGAACACACACACACACACACACACACACACACACACACACACACCTAAATAATCAAATCTCGTTTCCAGTCTTTCACATCACCACTGAGACTAGAGAACAAAGACCAGTATTACGTAATTTAGACAGGAAAGTAGCACTAGCATAATTCTTTATATAAATAATATTACGCTTCTAAAAGCGTATAACTGTGTCCCTTTGAGTAACAGGATTTGGGGTAAATAGCTTCGCGTTTTTTCTTTTGTTTTCTGGACTTGTAGGTAAGAATGTTGGAGTGTGAAGCTCTGCTTGAATCCTAGGTACTGTTTTTCACTGATCATTCAGTCCATTCAAAGTACTTACACATGGCCGCAAAGAATCGGAGTTACTAGCATTTTTTCAATTTATCGAACCCTCTACCTATAATTTTAAAAAAAATATTAGGTACTTTGACACGAACGTTTTTTTTAAACAAAGTTCGTTACCAATTAATAAAATACTTGTATCAGAAATTATTTAATAATTTATTTATTTATAGAAAAGAGCGAATTCCTTTTTAAAAGGACCTGTGACTCTGGTGTTGCGGGTGTCCATGGGCGGCGTTGATCGCTTACCATCAGGTGATCCGTCTGCTCGTTTGCCTCCTATTCCATAAAAAATACATATCAAGAAATGAAAAAGAAAGACTGCCTCGTTGGCCGACTGGCAGGTGTGACTACAGGGCAGGTCTCGGGTTCGATTCCCGGGTAGGGCAAAGTATTACTGGGTTTTTCAAGAAAACTCAGTAGAAGTACGGAGCCTGGAAGTGTGCCCGGTATACGGCCATAGGCTCACCCCCTATTACATGGGACTCGTAACTTAAATAGTGAAAAGTGAATGTTGGCAGGTTTGAAATCCGCACCCTCGTTCAAAAAAAGTGGGCATCTTAAACCTCTGAGACACAACCACAACAGTAACTACTAATACATCTATAGAAAGTAGACTGTCATAAAAATCTATACTATAATATTATAAGCTGAAGAGTTTGTTTTTTTGTTTGAACGCGCTAATCTCCGAAACTACTGGTTCGATTTGAAAAAATATTTCTGTGTTGGATAGCCCATTTATCGAGGAAGGCTATAGGCTGTAAAATATCAGGCTACGATTAATAGGCACGGAGTAGAGCGAGTGAAACCGCGCGGAAGTAGCTAATCTCTTAAATAAAGATTTAAAATTAAAACGTTAACAATGAAGCCTAAAAATTTAACATTACATTAAATAATCCAAATTAATTCCTAAAAACACTTTCAAAAGCCTTTTAAAGGATATTAATTGTATAACGTACCCATTATTAAAATCAAAACCATTCAAATTCGTCAATTAAAAATTCAAAAGAAACACTCGTGGTTTAAAGGGTATAATAATAACAAACTCGAACCCACGCCATTGATTCTCAAGCCCTCTCATTGTTGATAGAACTTCATCAAAATCAAATCGTTTAAATGTAAAGTGGGGTCTTATTAACCCTCGTTGTCGTACGGTTTTCATTTTTGATGAAGGTTTTTCTTGTAATAATATATATTTACATCCTACAACCCTTTTGGCGTCACGCACGTCGCGCAACATTACGACGTCCCCCAGTTCCCCTTAATTTTTTTAATATGTCTTGATGAATATTGCTTAGTTATTCGATTTCTAACTTTGTAGGATACGTCATTTTCCGATAATTTTATTTTTCACGATATTCTTCTTGCAGTCATGCTGCAACATTTTTGAACCCCAAACAATGGTGATAACAAATTGGAGTCCTAGATATATTGATCGTGATTTAACCATGGTATCAGCTACTTAACGTCCCCACAGCGTGGATGGTATTTGCGAGTGCAACGTTGCCAGCTTTGGGTTCACTTGTCTCTTTCTTTTACTCTCTCTTGTCACTCGTCTGGTAGTACAGAGTTTCAACATTATTCCAATATTCGTTAAATCTATCAATACATATTTACTAATGCCCGATAATGATAAAATAATGTTATCTACTAGTAGGTGCCTACTTTATAATTATTATACTACCTATCAATATTGATGGAATGAGCAAGATGAATTAATTGAATTTAATTGGTAGGTACATCAGACAGTGTAAGATAAGATGAAAAAATTTGAGGATCCTGATAAATGACATGGTAATGGCAGGAGTCTCTTGCGGAGGCTGACGAAGGATATGCGCGCGAAGAATGTTTCTTCCTCAGCAGGTATCATGTAAGATCACCTAGCTATCG